CTGAAGTCGGACGCTCAACCGACTGAGCCACCCAGGCGCCCTGCCATTGACCAGCTCTTAATTTAAGCTACCGAGTAAACCATATTTGTTTAAATCTTCCATGAGAATGAGAAGCACACGTGTTTTTTGTCCGAACACATTTTCATCCTCTCCTGTCCGTAAGATGATATATCTTTAGAGGACGTGTTTTCACAGGTTTCTTTTGATTTTCATTCAATACACAATAAGCAAAGGACTACTCCAAAGAAATGTAGTCTCTTGCCAAATAAATGTGTTATCTTTGACCTAATCGGTTTGTGTTCTCTATTAACAACGAAGCAAAATAAATGGAATTGCAGATAACTCTCATAAAAATTGAAGTGCTTTAGACTCTTTTCAGAGGAACACGGAAGTGCGTTGTCAGCCTTCTGGTTAGCCTTCTGGTTGACAGTGGTCATTCTGGGTTATTTACTTATTCAATTGCTTGTTTTTACCTGTGTGCATAGACTTGCAATTCTGAGTCTAGGTGAGGTTTGTTACGTGAATGATAAGTGTCAGTAGAAGTTGATGAGACTTTTGTGAGGAAGAAACCATCTTACGTATGTCCTATTTAGTAACTTTTGCTGCCCACAGATATCAAGGGGAAAAAAATGCCATTGCTAAAAGGGATTTTCTTTACCTATGTTTTCTTTTACTTCAGACTTTAAAAACATTTTTTACATTTACTTATTTATTTTGAGAGAGAGAGTGAGCAAGTGGGGTGGGGGCAGAGAGAAGGGAGAGAGAGAATCTCAAGCAGCCTTTTCAGCGCAGAGCCGGATGCGGGGCTCGAACTCACAAACTGTGAGGTCACGACCTGAGCCGAAATCAAGAGACCGATGCTTAACCAACTGAGCCACCCAGGCACCCCACTTAAGAGTTTTATTCTATGTTGCAGAGTATGTGTTCTCATCAGAGATTTTATTAAAACATTTTTTTAAGTTTATTCATTTTGAGAGAGTGAGAGATTGCACAGCACGAGCGGGGGAAGGGCAGAGAGAGAGAGAATCCCAAGCAGGCTCTGCGCTGTCAGCGCACAGAGCCCGACACAGGGCTCAGTCTCATGAACTGTGAGATCATGACCTGAGCCAAAATCCAGAGTTGGACCCTTAACCGACTGAGCCACCCAGGCGCCCTGTGTTTTCATCGAGTATTTTAGAACCACCCATTTCCTTTTGGTCTATGCTGTGATTTTGTTTTAACATCATTAGCCAATTTCTGTATTTGAGTATTTGGGTATAAGTCAGTTAATGTTCTCTTGTATGAAATCTCTGGCTGAATTCCGTTTGACAGGCCCCCAGAAACCTAAACAGCATTTATTTTTTAATGTTTTCAGTGTGATTCGTCATAGAGACGTTCGATCCTGTCACTATGGTGTAACGGACAAATTCCGTCTCCAAGTTTCCGAGCAAAGCCAGAGGAAGGCTTTAGGAAGGAAAGAGGTTGTGGCTACTCTTCTCCCGTCTGCAAAAGAACAACAAAAGGAAGAAGAGGAAAAAAGGATAAAGGAACATTTAACTGAAAGTTTATTTTTTGAGCAGTCCTTTCAACCAGGTAGTCTTGGTTTGCTTTGAAAGCCCTTTGGAGGTCTTATGCATGTCTAACTTGAAAACAGGGAGCTAAGAATCATTACTAGAAAACTGATCTGCCCCCTTAAACCTAATTAACTACTTCCAAACCGAACTTAGAGATCTGGTACCCTAACGTCAAGCAAGAGGCCTCGAGCTAGCCTTGAAACAGGGAGAAAGCGTCTCGGCAGCAGCCGAGGCCGTCAGGACAGGGTTGCCATGGCCTTTTACATGTGTGTGGCCTGAGAATGCAGCTACCGCGCTCGATGGGGCTAGCGCAATTTGGCAGTTACATACTTTTGTTTCTGTGACTTTCCCGTATCCTTTCTCATTTAATTAGTTCGAAGAAGGAGAGAGATTGTGTTTGGCAATAGGCCAAGCTTGGTGCACCGTTCATATTATTTTGAAAAAAAAAAAAAAATCTCATTAAAGTTGAAGTTAATTAAACTAAGTAGATTATAATATCCCCTGTGGGCTATTAATTGAATCCCTCTCCATTCCTCATTTCCTTCCAGCTTAGATATTCAGAAGCGTTATGATATATTCTTTCAACATTGACACTATCCTCATATTCAACTCTTTGGACGTCAGTCCTCCTCCCTCTTAACTTCTCATTATCTTCTTCCAACCCTATTATAAGAGGAGGAAGATAAAATTTTCCATAGAAACACATGGAAACTTTTTGATAGTGATAGATGAATGTGATAGCAGCTGTCCTTGAAATTGCAACATTATCTATGAGGAATTAAAAACAAATCTGCTTGTCAGTACATTAATTCACAGATCCCTATCAGTTTGTTCATCCTAGAGTGTTTATTTGGATACCACAGGGAGTAATGCCTCTTTGATTTACTGTAGGCAAGAGTCTTCTCTGTCCATGCAGGCAGCGTCCAGATTTTCTGCTGTACCAAGACCAGGGACTAGGTAGCAGCCAGGACCAGATTTTCAGCTTTTGAAGCTGAAAGAGAATCGCTTTGATCTCCGATCAGTATTGCGAAGTTGACTTATAAATATTTATGAAATGCAAGATTCCCCCTGTAAAATGCCTTCTGTAGAATAAGAAGAGTCATATAATGAGTATTTGTTTTTTGAGGTTAAATTCATAAATGCATAATTGGCTCATTTCTGTTTTTAACAGACCAGTTTATTTTATTAAAAAACATTTTTTTTTAGTGTTTCTTTATTTTTTGGGGAGAGAGAAAGAGCAGAGCACAAGCAGAGGAGGGGCAGAGAGAGAGGGAGGCACAGAATGCAAAGCAGGCTCCAGGCTCTGAGCTGTCAACACAGAGCCCGACATGAGGCTTGAACTCACAAACCGTGAGATCATGACCTGAGCCGAAGTCAGGTGCTCAACCGACTGAGCCACCCAGGTCCCCAACAGACCAGTTTGATAGCCGAAAAACATAAGGGTTAAAAGTTCAGTTTTATCTATCTATCTATCTATCTGTCTATCGATAGATAGATATTTCCTTTAGTTTAAAATTTATTACAGTTCTGGTGAAAATCATCCTAAAAGGTTAAGTAATTACAGCGTGTATTAATTGAGCATTTTATTCTTATTTTACTTTGATAATGATCCTTTGGTATCTGAAGTGTATTAGGAAATTCTTCTAATTGTGAAATCAAAGTAGGTAAATGAATGAGGTGATTTCTGTTTTGAAAACAAAACAAAAAAACCTCTCTAAGCCAGCCATGTCGGGAAGCTGAAGGAAGGCAAGCACCTTACTTGTCTCATTGACCGTCATGTCCTCGGCACCTAGCACGGTGCCCGGCACAGGGTAGTTACACAGGAAGTGTGTACGTGGCCTTCACTAGGAGGTCTGGACTTCTCATCTGGCAGGGTCTGTTGGCTTGGTTTTCTTTGTCTTACAAGGTCTCCATGGCTCTCGCCAGTCTTCAGAGCAAAGGGGATACCGCAGTAGAGCCCCATATGAAGTCCTGACCGAGCTGTCCAGTTAGCGAGTAGTTACCCCAATGTTTCTAATGTGGCAGGAAACCAAGTAAAGTTTTCTTCTCTAATAGAGTATAAGGGTGACTGATGGAGTCTATGTTGACAAAGTAGTATTTGTCGCTTCTCCTGTTTATTAAATTCATAGTAAATTATGTCTGGTTTCCAGTATGTAGAATTCTACACTTTTTCATTGAGTTTCTCTAAACCGAAATGTTGAAACGAATCGAGATTGTTTGGGGGGAGGTTTTGAACTGTCCTTATTTTTGCACATCTTTGGCTCAGAAAGATGTTTATTAGACATATTACAAGGGCAACAACGTTGTGAGCCTCCGCGAACCAGCCAGAAAATGGTCAAAGGCTAGATCATGAAAGATTTGGGTTTTATAAATGTATTGAAAGGCAGTAAAAATGAGAAATGTCTTCTCGAGTTGATTGTACTAGAAAAGACATAGCAGTAACAAATTCAAAAAGGAAGACAGCACCTACAGTCCCACACACTTCACAGATCTGCTTATGTAAGTGTTCCGTGTTACTTTCCAGACCTCGTCTATGTGCGTGAATACACTCATACATACATTTTTTTCATTTAACAGAAATTTAAGAGAAACCCGCAAAGCATACTTTTACAAACGACCACAGCCCAGGTTTATTAGGAAGATGTTTTGAAAAGATGCAGCTGAACCTTAGTGAGTCTGTCTTAATGATATTACTAATGAACTGCCCTGTCTATGCAGTGTTTGAGTCCGTGCCCTCTGGCTTAAGAAAATTACAGTCGTCATTACTGTTTGTAACAGTGAAAGACTGAAAATGACCTAAAAGTCCATCAATTGGGGATTGATTAAATTATGAGCGTTCATGAGATGGGATGCTAGGCAGGCATTTATTTACAAGGATCTGATAGAATGATAGATGGTTATACATTGACCTACTAAGAGGCTCAAATATATTTCTGAGAGGAAAAAACAGTTGTAGAACACTGTGTATATTATGGTCTCATTTATGTTAAAAAAAAGTTTTTACATGTTTATATGGGTATTTATAAAATCCAAAAGGATCTATATCAAGCCTTAACCGTGTTCCCTCCGGGGGATGGGACCGGTCAGGAAACTGTTTTCTCCATCTCTGTAAAACCTTTGCAACAATCTTGTAGTTTCAGCAAAAAAGCAATTTCCCTTTTGAAAGATTTCAAGCATCTATGCAAATGTCTTTGGAATTTTTCTAAATACTAAAAGTTCCTTGAGATGATCTTTATTGTGGGTTTGTAGCCAGCAGTGTAGTTTTCACAAACAAATGTCTTCCTTGAAAGCCTATCTCTGCAGCAGATATAAAGATATTTCATTTATTAACTAACATAAGACTTGTTTTTCGGTATTTATGCTATGGTTTCATCTCAGGCAGTAATCACTACAAAATCTGAATTTGTTTTCACCTGTGTGGCTTTGGCAAGGCTCCATTAAACTTCATGCAACAGCTAAGGTGTTAATAATTTAGAAAAGCTGCATTGAATAATAAAATGAGCAGCGTTGTTTCATTAATAAAACACCAGATTGTGTTGCTGTTGGCTATTCCTTTTAATGAGAGAAGGGTGGTGCGAAAAGCTAGATGACAGAATGTACTGTTACTGGGTTTCTTAAAAATATGGCCATGAATATTGTACACATACAGCCAGAACTGTTGAATAGCAGGCCTGATCGTGTTTGTTTTTTTTTTTTTTAATTTTATTTGATCGTGGTAAGAACACTTAACACGGGATCTGCCCTACTCACACATTTTTAAGTGCACGATACAGTAGCGTTAACTATAGGCACAATGTTGTACGGCAGATCTCTAGAACTTACTCATTTTACTTTATGCCCATGATTAGCATCTCCCATTTTAAACACACACCCCTCAGTCCCTGGCAACCACCGTCCTACTCTCCGATTCTGAGTTCGGCTCTTTTAGACACTTCACGTGAGTGGAATCATGCAGTATTTGTCCTTCTGTGACTGGTTTATTTCATTTAGCGGGATACTTGCCAGATACTGCTTTTGCCTTCTTCTTGGCTGTAAATGGGGTAGAGCAGAGGACAAGAATCTTCACAGGTAGCTTTAAAACACTCAAGTAGTGCCTTTCTGCTGCTTTAAACATTTTCAAAAACGGGAGCAGGATGCTACAGTTATTAGGACCACACTTGTCTGGAGACCTACCTAAGATGCTCTCAGAAGGCAGTGCGCTCCAAAATGGAGTAGACACAAGAAATACATTGGGGTGAAACTGATTAGGGTGAGGTTGGGGGCGGGGTAAGAATGGTGACCTTTCGGCAGGAGCTCGCTACCTCATAATGCCACTTCACCACTCTATTCTGTAATGGCCCAGCAGTTATGGGCTTCCAGATAAGTCCAGCAGATAGGTCCCCATGGAGTGGAAATGTTGGGGAAAGAGAGAAGTCAGACAGAACCAGAATCCTGGTGAGTGGTGGGCAGTTTATGTGAACCAACTTTGGTCTTAAGTCCTTTTCAAACAAGCAGGCTCGGGGATTTTTGTCTTTTTACAGAAAACAGAACTGTCTCTTCAGGACCTAGTTTACTAACTGTCTTCCTGGGAGTGGTGTGCATTGCGGCTTTGATGCTTCCTACGCTGGGGGATGTGGAATCGCTGGTGCCTCTCTACCTCCACTTAAGTGTGAATCAAAAATTAGTGGCTGCTTATATCTTAGGTAAGTGTTTGGAGGATGCATTTGGGTCCTATGTGTGGGCTCAGAGGTGGCGGTGGTGCTGACACCTGTTTAATTTTTTTTTTTTTTTTTAGAAAAACAGGTAAGATTGCTTCAAAAGCATGTGTTGGGGTGTTGAGGTAACGTGCACTTTAAGATTTAATTTTTGGCTTTCACTGAGTTCTTTTTTTTTTGAAGGTCATTTATTTAAGTAATCTCTACACCCAACGTGGGGCTCGAACTCATGACCCCAAGATCAGGAGTCGCCCGCTCTTGTGACTGAGCCAGCCCGGTGCCCCTACAATTAGTTCTTTGTAGCCTATTGATCTAGCACCTAATACTGTATTCAGTTATCTTCATTTTGCTGACTTTCAATGGTATAAGACATGTAAAAGATGTAAAATGCATGTATTCCACGATCCAGCATTTCTACTTCTAGGAATTGATTGTAGGGAATCACCTCGACGTAGTGCATACAGTGACCTAGGTGAACACTGCAGCCTTGTCGAACCTCGTGAGCCTTTCTCTTTAAGCCCGTTCCCATATTTCCTGTTAAATTATTCTTTCAGCCATCCTAGCTTGAAATCTTACAATTACCTTAACCGAACAGTTACTCAGTACCTGCCATGTGTCAGGGATCAGGGTTCTGGTGATGACAGACCCTGTCTTCGTGGTCTCCTGGCACCTCTTCTGAGACGCCAAGTCTTCAGTATTCTTTCAGTATTCCTTGGAATGCTCTTCTTCTTCTTTTTTTTTTTTTTTTAATTTTTAAAAAAATTTTTTAGAGAGCACAGGTGAGCAGCGGGTAGGGCAGGGGGAGAGAGAGAGAATCCTAAGCAGACTCCATGCTCAGCATGGAACCCGGTGCGGGGCTCGATCCTACAGCCCGGGGATCGTGACCTGAGCTGAAATCAAGAGTCGGATGGACGCTCAGCCGACTGAGTCACCCAGGCGCCCCCTTGTCTCTTTTTTTTTTAATTGAAAAATTGTCTTCTAAATATGACACCCCACCTTCTGTCTGTGTCCCTTCTCTTCCTATTCTCCCCCCCCCCCACACACACCCTTGCCCTTTATTTTCTCCCAAATGCTCCATCACATTGCTGTTAGACCGATTTCCCTTCTGGTCTGGTTTTACGGCCACCACTCCCTACTGAGGAGCCTTCAGTGGTTCCCCAAGTCCATAGGAAGAAGTAGGAGTCCACAGTTTGGCATCTAAGGCTCTCCACACTCTGTGACTTCTCTGAGCTAATCTTGTCTAGCTGATTCCCTGGATAAATCCTGGATCGGAGCCTGTTGGATTATTTATTGATTCCCCGAAAAGCTCATTCTGAGAGTCCGCTCAACCTCCTTGTGCTCGCTCTTGCCATCTTCCCTCACCTGAAATGCCCGCCGATCGCATTCTCCTTTATCATTCCTGTCAGTCTTTTAGGCTTATTTCAGCTTTACCTTTTGGGGCACCTTTTCTGACTGCCCTGGGCCTATGCAATTATTCTCCTTCTCTGTACTTTATCACTCACTTTTTTTCCTTATGCCACTTATTTAGGACTGAGCATATTCTTCTGTTATTACATTTTTATGGTTTTACGTATGGAGTCTCTTCAAAAGAGACAGGCCAAACAGGAATACTATGCTTCTGTCTCTTTGTGGTCCTAGAGCCCCGGGATGGGCTCAGAATGTGATTGTCGATGAACTTGGCGGGCTTTACTGATACTTGAAAATGCCGTGTCTGCTATTGTGGCTGATGTGACTGGATAAAGCGGGAGGTATTTTTGATGGTTAAAAAATTAGCTATGGCCAGACATTAGTGATTTAATTAAATCTGTCCAGTGACTGCCCATTGCTATAAATTGGATTTCTTGTGTATAATATCAACTGTTCACACTGTGAATTCTTGGTAGAGTGCCTGTCCATGTGCTGTATTTTATTTGCTCATTGGGGCCTAAACAATTACTTATTGAATGGAAGATTATGTAAAATGCACGGCTTTAACTTTTCTTCATTTTTTTTCTTTCAGGTCTTATCACAATGGCCATACTTAGAACATGAGCAAGGAATTCAGTTGACTTCTGAAGTAAATTTATCTTGCAAATATGAATGTGGACTGCCTTTTATCTCTTTCACTCCATTAACATGCTACAAACTATTGAGTGATTTACAATAATTGCAAATGTATAATTGCAAACGTATAATATATATTTTAAATTACTCTATAATTTTATTTGAAGGACTCTAGCACATTATGATACAGACAGCAAGGATGCCTCTGAATTACGCCTAGGAAATTATTTGAAAAAATTCTTTTTATATCTAAACCGATTATGCAAAAGACTTTAACCATCTGTTATTTTTCTCATCTTTTTTTCTAATTTACTTTGATTAAGGTCGTATGTCCTTCACAGTTAAAGGCCTGAAAGAGCAAACTGACCAGCTTAAATGTAAAATGACATTTCCTAACTACAAACATCAATGTTCCTATGTAAATTATACCTTGTCCTCTCATTATAAACAGTTGCCATGGTGTTTCTAAAATAAGTTTCACGGTTAATGTGTGGAGGGCACCAAGAGAAAAAGCATAAAGTGCTGAGGGATCATGCTTATCCTATCCTAGGATCTCACAGGAGACCAGACATATTTCATTCATCTGGTGAACTACAGCACAGGTTGTGGTCCAGACACAAAGCATGTGGGGGTTTTTGCAACCCTCAGAATTAGGGTGACTTCTCTATTTGGCCTAAGAATTCTAAAGGAAGGTAGGCATTTGTTTAGTTAATTGGTTCACCCTGGCTTTACCTCTGGATAATGCTTTCTGTTAACAGGAGGAAAAAATCACTTTATCATTTCTTCCTAGCCCTTTGCCTGACTGTAAGCAACTAGCCCAGTCTGGGGTTACCAGATGCCGGGTAGTTTATATGGAGATGTTTTTCACCTTTAAACTCCAAGCCAAGTATACAAAATCCTTGATACGTGTCTATTTTATAACAGTCACGGAGATATTTTTTAAGTTTGTATTTATTAAAACAACTTTACCAAAAAAAAAAAGCCCCTAAAGCACAACTATTTACATTTCTTTGTAGCGTCTCTGATCTTTAACCATATATATGCAGTTTGAACTGTTCTTATCATAATAACTGATCTTTTGACTTAGGGTTTTTTTTTTTTTTAAGTTTATTTATTTATTGTGAGAGAGAGTGTGCACGCGAGCAGGGGAGGGGCAGAGAGGGAGAAAGAGAATCCGGAGCAGGCTCCGTGCTGTCAGCGCAGAGCCCAACGCGGGGCTCGAACCCACGAACTGTGAGATCATGACCTGAGCCGAAATCAAGAGTCGGACACTTAACCAGCTGAGCCACCCAGGCGCCCCTTGACTTAGGATTTTTATCTGAGAGCACAATGCCTTGAGTCTCTTGAAAATCATCTTTCAGATCTTTTTACAGAACAAACTTCTGCACCTGCTACTGTAGTATTCTCAAGGAATGTACATAAACACAAAATGTATGCCTGAGGTTGGTTTTTGCAGGAAATAGTACTTTGCTTCTAGAGTAAAAGCTACGTATACTCTTTCAGAGAAAATCTTCACCGTTTAACCATTTGGGGAAGATAAATCATTAAATGGATCACGTCTGGACATTGTGTAATGACTGAAAAGCACATAAATGTAATCTATTTTGAACTTTGTAAAAAAAATTATGTTTGGAGGCTATCCTTGTTTCTCTGTCCCTTTCAAGTCCTCTGTGTGTATGTGTGTGTGTGCACGTGTGTGCATCCGCGCATGCGTGCGTCTGTGTGCAAGCGCACACATGTGTGTGTGAGATAACCCGTTGTAAAGGACAAAAATTACTTTTAAAAAATAAAAGAAAATGGAGACCTCCTGAGTTTCACATTGACTTCCACATTTTATTTGAGTTACCTCTGAGGAACTCAGTTTTAGTCTCCTGCTTCCTAAAGCTGTCTCCTATTCCCGCGAGTTAAATAGGAAAAAGAAGGAGTGAGATATGTGAGCTAAAATGTATTAAGTTTCTTCATTTGCCAAGGGAATTAATTTGTTTAGATTTTTTTAATAGGTAAGAGTCACATGCTTCAAAAATCAACTATAAAAAGGTATACAGGGGCGTCTGGCTGGTTCAGTCAGTGGGGCATGTGACTCTTGGTCTGGGGGTTGGGAGTTCAAGCCCCGCCTTGAGTATAGAGATTACTCAAAGGTGTACAGTAAAAAATCACTAGTCGCCATCCCTGTCCATCCCATCCCTTGTCCCCTCGGCTCCTTTCAAGTGACCACTGTTGTGTAAATATGCTTCCACCGTTTCTTTATCCAAATACATTTCTTGTGTGGCTTACAGCGTAATTCACTTATGGTATTTTTACCATGTAAACCTTATCCTAGGGTAGTTGAATTTATGAATCTTTTATGGCTTCTGGATTTTGAATTGTAGAAAACCCCGGACCGTTCCAAAGTGCCAAATCATGGATACACACACAAACACCAGTTTGAAGATCTAATGAGAATAATCCATTTAGAGTAACAAAAAAACTTAAAAAACCCTAGGTTTAAACTTAAAGTCCATAATCTTTTATAAGGCAAACTAAAAGACACTCCTGGTAAAACCAAGACTAGAACAAGTAGAAAGACATCTTTTTGTTCTTGGACATACAGTGTTGACATGAAAATTTCCCTTGTTTGTAAGTTACATAAATTTAACATGGTTCCAATAAGAATACCAAGAGGTTTTGGTATCTCTTTTTTTCCCCAGACAAGTTGATTCTAGATTCATATGGAGAAGTAGGCACAGCTAGGAAAACTTCTGAAAGAAGATTAATGGGAGAAATTCCGCCAGAAATTAAAACATTTATATAACCCCCATAATTCTAGCTGTGGTACTGGGCCATGAAGAGAGCAATCGAAAAGAATTGCAAGTACAGAAATAGACCCAAATACATCTAGGAATTTAGTATATGCTAGAAGTGTCATCCCCAAACAGAAAAATAACACACTGGTCAATAAATGGCATGAAAGCAACTAGAATGACGCATTCCACCAAGATAAACCAAATGGATCAAAGATTTGAATGTAAAAAAAAAAACAACCATAAAGGTGCTAGATCACCATGTGGGGGAATTTATTCCTTTATCATCTTGGAAGGGGGTTATTTTTGAAGACTAAATCTGTAACCAATGTCTTTCGTAGGCAGCTTTCCTCCTCTCGTTAGTGTGTCCTTTCCCAGTTTTGTAGAAGGACCCCCCCCCCAACCAATGAGTTCCCAAAGTAGATTCCCAGAATCATAAAGCAGTTATGATTAATTCAACTTTAGTCTCAAGTCCTTCCCTTTCATTCGAAACCTGTCACATTTGGACAGGCTGTAATCACCGAGAACTGGGTGACTGGCAGGTGATCACACACTGTGTGCCTGCGCTACCGGGATTTACAGTGCGTTGCAGTGTGGTGGGATGGGGGAAGGGAGGAACAAGATGAACCTCAGTCTTGGACCCAGTTCCGCGCTCAAGCGTGTGGCACACCCCACAAATGCGGCAGGAGTTGGAAGGATCTGAGCTGGCACTCAAAGGGGGGGCTCAATTCATATGCAGAGTTGGGTTCACAAGAAAAGGCAAGGATGAGATATCTCCAGGGAGATATTTGAGACCGTGATGTAGGTGCCATTATTTCCTGTCTGCCATGAAGGCACTGACCACGAAGAACCAAACTCTCCAAGGGGCCATAGGTATTACAGAGTTTCATCAGGAACAAGGTAAAGAAATAGTTGTCATCGTGAAACAAATATGATTCATCCTGAAAGCAGCCGGCAAACAGGAAATGCACAGCAAGAGTTGTAATTATCTGTCGCGGCAGGTGTTTGTCACCTCGAAATCGTTAGGCCTGCACAATTCTGCCACCCAAGTTAACTTCAAAAGGACTTGTACGAAGTCAGCATGGAAAGTTCAGGTTTCTAGAAGGGATTCTGGAAATGAGCGTCTTTGCTAGATATTTTTATTTGCGAACATTTAAGGGGAAAGACAGCACAGTGGCTGCCGAGAAGACGCCTTTGGGGTTTCAACATGAACACGGAAACAGCGCTGACATTTCAAAATGTTGTTATTATGAAAAAGATGGAACATTTCCAGTAGCACCTAAAGCCCTGGCATTTAGAGAGAATACGCTTAAAAGGAACAACTTAAAATGGACCGAAAGGAAATTGGAGGGAGTGGGTTGGAACTAGAAGATCCAGACGGAGAGCCCCACAGAGCCTAGCTGTGTTAGCCCAGCGGGAGAATGCCAAGTTCGTGATTATTTCATTAGGAAAATATTTGCTACACCTATAATCTGGAAGTGATAAACAACATACCAGAGCAGAACATTACTCTCCAGGATTAAATACCAAACAAAATAACAAAGAGTTGACCCAGCTACAGGCTATCGGGATGAGGCCTTGTCCAGTTACCACATCAAAGACCCTGCCATAGGCAGAAAAAAGAGGAATCAATTAGGACACTGGTTGGGAGAGGCTTTATACTTTATGTAACCAAGAGGAAAAAGAAATGCAAACAGACTAAGCTCAAGCTGGCTGCTTCCTTATTTTGTTCATTTAGTTTCTTTCTGACTTGCCCCCATCACTTGGTGAATCAAAAGACGTCCAAAAATTTGGGGGCACCTATCCTGAACTGTGTCAGCTCAGTACCTAATAAAAACCGGGCCCACTTCAAGGAAGATGATGAAGATTGTCCAACTCACTCTGTGCGTTTTCTAATTTTGCATGGCAATTGTTTTGTGAATCATGGACTTAATGAACGCGCAAGCTGGGCAGTTCCGGATGTGATCCGGGTAGGTGGAGAAAAGCCCTGGTTCAATAAAGTGAAAAGAATAAATGATGTTATGAGGATGTGGACAGACTTTAGTCCACCAAGGTAGAGAAAAACAATGCAAAAAACATTGTGAGAAAATGAAGTGTGAGTTGTGCTAATAGTAAGGGAAAAAATGTGCTAAATCCTGGGGTGGATGGGGAAATTACTTTTGTACAATCATAGGTCACAGAAGGCAAGGTTATGAATGGATTTATTTGCAGAATTGGAAAGAAAGCTTTCTGTCTTCTAATGAACATGTTG